CAACTTATGCTCATTGGGTCTTTTCTGAGCAGCTTTTCGCATTTTCTTTCACGAAGAGTAGTGAAATTCGATAAGAACTAATTTCTTCTCAAAGTGTTATTTGGGGAAGCAAATAACTGCCATCTAACGTCCTGGTACTGAGAGCACGATGCAATATGTCTTACACGTCCGCCATCTTGTCCGGACCCCGTTTTAGACAAAATTTATGTTTAAATCCAAAGCCGAAAAAGTTAGCGACCGGAAGTAGCGTAGGATCCCATTTCCGGTGCAGGTCGGGAACAAAGTGATAAACAGAAAGGATTTAAAGGCATCTTTTTTGTCAGGAAATACATTATTAACGTTTAACACATTATATTTTAGTACGTTTACAATTTTTGGTAAGGGAAAACGTCATTTAGGTATTTTTAACAAAATAAAATCGAGGACGACCCGGAAGTATATCTGTATGCGCAAATCAACTGATGGCGCATGCGCAGAACGGATCGTGCTTCCGGGACGGATCAGGTAGGGAGAGAAGATAACGAACTGGTTGCCAACCGCCATAAAACCATAAAATAATAATAATAATAACAATAAGAAGAAGAAGAAGAAGCAGCAGCAGCTGGTTCCTGCGGCCGCCTGAAGCAGCCATGATGTCCGTCAGCCTCATCCTGCTGTGCGGGCAGCTCCTGCTGCTCCTCTCCGTCATCTTCCTCCAGTGTCTGGAAGGGATCCACTCCCACAACTCCAGCTCCCCCTCCGCTGCTCCTGCCTCCTCTCCTCCCGCAACGAGCGCCTCCTCTCCTCCCGCACCGGGCGCCTCCTCTCCTCCCGCTCCGGGCGCCTCCTCTCCTCCCCTCAGCCAGCAGCCAGGGCCTCAGAAGGAGGAAGCTCCGGCGGAGAACAGCAACAACAGCACCGAGATGTTTGAGTACAAGCCTCCATCCCCGGTGGTTCTCTGCTGCTACCTGTGAGTGACGCGGAGGCTAACGGCGTTAGCTGAGGGAGCTAGCTACGGCAAGCCAGAGGGGACACAGCATGGAGGGTCGAAGCTAAACTAGTCTGATAGATCAGCTCCTCTCCGCTCGGAAACAATGATCTCTGTTTGCTGCTGGTAGTGAAGCCACCGGCCGCCATATTGGTACTCCCTAGTTAGACCGGTCTCTGTGTAAACAATCAGAGCGCTGCAGCATCAAACAAGCAGGATGTTCTTATTTTCAGCTTTAAAAAAAAGATAAATTCATTACTTTGACACAGAGTGGCTGTTTCACAGCATCAGTAGATTAACTTATAAAAATCACATTGCAGAGTCATTATGACGTCAATGAAGTCTATAAATGATGTAATATAACATATTATACAAAACATCACAATAACATTAATGTGTTAATGGAGCAGAATAATACAGATGAGCCAAAAGTGATAAAATAATGATGAACGTGTTAAATACATGGATTGATGACATTGTAATGGTAATTACATCTTACAGGTCTGTT